GGAGCTCAACGGCTCTGAACGGCTCTAGCCCAAGCTGTGATATAAACGAACGCTATTGGCTATTTTAAAAATGGGCAGGGCTGCTTGATATGTCCCGCCCTGTCTTCCTGTTTCAGTTAAAATGACGTCAACACATAGAGTAACGCTACGTGTTTCTAATCATTTCAGGGGACCTTTAAGGGGTTTTGTTGCATGTTTTTACACATTTACAGCGGTTCATCCCCAGTCAACACTGTACATCTTCTTGTAAAAACAGCCTACTGGATTCTATACAGAAACCTGTAATTAGACACAGAAACAAATGTTACACATACTGTACACATAGTATCTAACTCTCTCTCTCTCTCTCTCTCTCTCTCTCTCTCTCTCTATATATATATATATATATACATACAGTATATATGTCTGTCTGTATTATGGATCTCATTTATAGTACATTTTGCTGTCTATTATGGATCTCATTTATAGTACATTTGGCCTACAGTTCTCTTTCAGCCATGTGTGTATGTATGTGTGGTGTAATGCATATATTTCTGTATCTGATGTTTCTTGTTGTGGGTCTGATAAAATCCCCCAGCATGCATTTCAGAGACAGTGTGTCTCCACGTATTCTTCAAACCCTCATGGGGTCATGCTTGAGCACATATAAGTGCATGCTTGAGAGTTTGTGTAGACATTTTTGGATTCTTATTTGTACGTGGTTTAGTGCACTTTCACAGTGTGTGTGTGTGTGTGTGTGTGTGTGTGTGCGCCAGTGGGCCTGGTGTCATCAGTTATGGACATACTGTGTGACAGAAAAGAAAAAAAGTGGTGAATACAGAGAAAGAAGCGATGAGGAAGGGAGGAGAAAGCGCTTGATTGAGAGCGGAAGGGAGGAGGAAGGTAGAATGATAGTTTTATATTGGGTGCGGTGCCAGAAAACAGCTGCTTTTAGGAACAAATGTCAGAAAGTGGGTGAATAAGTGACATTGTAATCGAAGATTGAAAATATGTAGCTGAAACAGACAGGGAGGGTAAAGTGTATAGAGAGGTTTAATGGAGAGATGAGAGAAAGAGAGAGAGAGAGAAGGGTGTATTTAATTACAGGGTGTATTTAGGCAGGAACTTACAGTAAGAGGTGTTCCTCTAAGTAAATGTATGAGAGTTTTTTTCAACTGGTTTACTGTCTGCAAGTTGGAAATCGTCAGTCCAGTCATTTAGAAAAGTAACAGCCTTTCCTCAAAAAGCTGCACAATTAGATGTATTATTCATGTCTGTAGCTCAAACGGTGCGGAACGAGTTACCCACTTTAGTTCCTTGTGGTTAAGGCCTACATGTGAGCAGTAATAAGGATTCTTGCTTCAGCAAGCAAGTACTACTAATAAATATCATAAATGTAACATTTGACAGCAGTGTACTGTAATTAAAGTGCCCCTATTATGGATTTTCAAATATTACCTTTCATGCAGTGTGTAATGTAGCTATCTGTGAATTTAAACAATCTACAAAGTTGTGAAGCCGAAAGTGCACCGTAAATAAAGTTATTGGCTCTCAAAAAAAAAAAAAAGGACTCTGAACAGCCTAAACGAGTCGTCTGGAATTCCAGTCTCACTTCCGTGACAGCTACACGTCACTGGGTAACACATTTGCATAATGCCCTCCTATGTTCTACATTGTCCGCCCGCGAACGACTTGACCCCCCCTCAAACACTATAGCATGCGCCGTACGCGGTAGACCAATTACAAAGGACTAGGCCATCTAACCAATCAGAGCAGTGTAGGCTCACGGAAAGGAGGGGTTTAGAGAGACTTAAGCCCCGTTCGCACCAAGAACGATAACTATAAAGATAACGATATTAGCGTCCACACCAGCGAACGATATCGTGTGTTTATTCTAAGCGCACGCGCGTCTGCCGCTTTAAATTCTTGCACTCGTTACAGCAGGATGGATTCTGATTGGCTGTCAGTGTTTTATCGTTCATCAGCTGGAAAAAAATCATTTTGAAAGTGATCACAACGATATCGTTCCTCTGTATCGTTATCGTTATAGTTGTGGTGTGAACTATGCTATTCTTTAATATTGAGAACGATTTTTAGAGCTATATCTTTATCGTTATCTTTATAGTTATCGTGCTTGGTGTGAACGGGCCTTTATTCTTCAAACTGCTTCGAACTAATCATTTACAAATCATTGAATCAACTGAGGTGAAGTTAAATGTTATGCGAAAATTAATATGTTTTTTGATCTTGCATGCATGTAAACCTGTTTACTTGAGGAGACCCCTGAAACAATATTAGGAACCTTAAAAATGGCATAATAGGGGCACTATAAACAAAATCTAAGGTCATAAATACATACAATACTCGGGTAACTTAACACAAAGGACTGGCTTTTGCTTTGAGGTAGACTCTATGTTTTGAATCTGACCCCTGGTGGTTAAAGCAAGAGGTGCACTTCAAACAAAGTGGTTGTGGAGACCATGGATACATTTATCTTTCTTTTTGTCTTTAACAGGGGAAACACACACTCTGTGATTGTACGTCGAAAGGTAGAGTCTCCAGATCCACTGAAGAAGCGTCGAATTCATTGCTGTGACTTCAATGGCTGCAATAAAGTCTATACCAAAAGCTCCCACCTGAAAGCTCACAGACGCACACATACAGGTACATAGGCTATATATGCAAAGACTTTTGTTCATACATGCAAAATTAACTTTGTGATGCTCATTTAAAAAAATGTTTTGCCTGGATGTATTCTGGATGTAAGTAAAAAAATACAATACAAATGCAATTCACACAAAAACTGCGTAAATACACTTGTTCTGTGTGATATGGGGCTTGATCTTTTTGTTGAGAAAGCTTTTTTTTTAAATAAATTATTATTGCTCACCAAAGCTGCATTTATTTGATCTAAAATAAAGAAAAACTGTAATATTGAAAATTATTATTATAATTGAAAATACGTTTTTTGTATTTGAATCTATTTTAAAATGCAATTTATTCCTGTGAGTCAAAGCTAAATTACGCCAGTTTTCAGTGTCACATGATCCTTCAGAAATCCTTCTAATATGCTGATTTGCTGCTCAAGAAAGGTTTTTTATTATCAGTGTTTAAAACCATGATATGCAACTATTCAAAAGTTTGGGGGGGGGGGGAATTTATGTATTTATTTAAATTTAAATTAATGCTTTTGTTCAGCAAGGACACATTAAATTGATCAAAAATGACAGTAAAGGCATTTATAATGTTACAAAAGATTTCTAGATGCTTTTTAAAAAACCTTTCATTATTGTTTTTTTATCAACAAATACTTTTTAATCATCTTAGAGATTTTTATTGGCTTGTATACAGATGCTCATTTACTCTTACTCTGATACTATTCATTCGGATAAATAAAGACTCCTCTAAATGTTCCTTCCCTACTCTTTGTGTGACCGTTTAGGAGAGAAGCCTTACAAGTGCATGTGGGAAGGCTGTACGTGGAAGTTCGCCCGCTCTGATGAGCTGACCCGTCACTTTCGGAAGCACACGGGTGTAAAGCCATTCCAGTGCCCTGACTGTGATCGCACCTTCTCCCGCTCCGATCACCTCGCCCTGCACAAGAAGCGTCACCTACTGATGTGAACTCAATACTGCAACACGTGAACGGAGCAGAAATTGCACCTTCGATTAAGCCGTTGCTCAACAGGAGCTTCATCTTCAGTGATGTTAAGGGCCGTTTTGTGTTTCCCGTCCCTTTTCTGTTCAGGAAACGATGCATGTAAGAAGAAAGAGTGGAGTTGATGGATAATATGATGGCTAGCTCGTACTTCATGAAAATAATTATTGTCCAAGTGGATTTTGTCACCGTTACTATGGATTCGGACAAACGGTGATAGTGCTGTGGATATGACCCTTATATAAGCAAAATTGAATTCCAATAGGCACCTTTAAGTCTTTTCTTGATACCAAGCACTCTCTCTCTCCTTTGTCTCTCTATTCACGTCTCTCTACCATTCTGTTTTACCCCTCTGCTGGTCAGAGGGCCCATTGTTCCAGTTACAGCACTACACAAACAAGCAAAATACATTTACAGTATATCAGTAGCTAGTCACACGCATGTGCAAACACACACACACCTCGGACATTTTCACACTTTAAATGTTGTTTTAAGCTGCAACTCGGGTCAAACCTGCACAATGTGATTTTTTTTCTCTTTTTTATATTATTCAAAAAAACGAATGTGTATACGCAGGTCCTGTATATGTATTCAGCATGTGTGTTTCAGTGTAAGGACCAAGGCTGAGTGTTTTACACCTTCATATGTTTCCTGAGATCGTTTGATTGGGTCGGTCAGTCGTTGAGCCCCGTTCACACCAAGAATGATAACCACACCAACCCACGATAATATTCTGTTTATTATAAGCACGCGCTGCGGTTTTGTCATCTGCCACTTTAAATGCTCAAGCGCATTAAAGCAGAAAGGATTCTGTTTGGCTGTCAATGTTTTTATCATTCATAAGCTGGAAGAAATCATTACAGTTGTCCACAAATTATAGTATATTCTTTTACATTTAGAACTATTTTTGAAACTATATTGTTATAGTTATCGTCCTTGGTGTGAATGGGCATTTATAGTTTGACTCTAAAGAGTTAAGTTTTGACAAAAAGTTTTTGGTTCCAAAAGTAGCTTCCGAGCACCTGACCTATTATTTACTTAGTGAAACAGTGGCGTGTTTTATTAATTGTAATCATGAATTAATACTGTAGTTTATTACTGTAAGTACTATGTACTGTGTAAGTTCTTGCAACTATGCACATGCACAATTTACGATTTAGTAATGAAAATATAGTCATGATTTTACCCTACATACATGTTAAAGACACAAGTAGAACGTAAGTGTGAGAGTTCAAGATGTCTTAAATGCTAATAGGCAGGTCTGAAAATTGAACGCTTGGTCGTCCAACACATACATGTTAGTTGCAAGGACTTATAGCAAGCTTTATTTTGCTTAATCTCACCATTATTCATATTTGAATAATTTCTGTAATCATGAATATTCGTATAATCCTAAATATTTTGTTGTGTCTTTTTATCAAAGCCAGTGTCCGAGGCTCAAAAGGGTAAACTATTATTTCACTGAGGGATGTTTAGGTGGAGAAATGTGATAAATGTGAACCATTCAATAAGGGGCATTATTTTATTAGAGTGTGTTCATCTAGGTTATGGGTAACATTGTCTTATTGCTAACACTTTGTTTGTGAGATATTTGTTAAACGCGTGAGATAGTCATGGATATATTGTTTTTTTGTATTGCAAATCATTTTTACATGAACAGATGTTTGTTAAGGGCAATGTGTAAACGGAAACAGTGCACTTTAAAAATTAATTTGAAATGGCAAATATCTGTAAATGGGGGTCCATGAATAGCTTTGAGCTTTGGGCTGTACAGTATCTCCGTTTTTTTCTCTTTCTATTAGTTTAACAGTTTGTAATAGACCGGTTCCTGTTATTCTCTTCTCAACTGAAGGACATTTTTGAAGGAGGAAAAAAACAAGGGGGAGCTTACATAAGAAAGGAAAAAGTCCTTAATGAAACGATTGAGATGAGTCAAAGAAAGATCTACTGAGAAAAAGGACGAAGCATTTGTTTCTTGGTCTAATGTATAAAGCTACACATTACAGAAATGAACTAATCAGATAAGATAATGGAGATATATTAATATATATATATATATATATATATATATTTGAAATGGAATAATATGACTGAATGGGCAATTTAAAGAATGCATGATTATGATCTATTTTTAATCCAAAACAAATATACTTTTTATAAAGATGTGAATCTTCTGTCTTTTCTAAATTACTTATATTTTCACAGTTCAAAGGGAATATTATGCTGTCATTATATCAAACTGTGAATTAAATGCAAATTGTTCAGACACTTTTTGTATTATATAGATTGAAATATGTATCATTCAATAAACTTTTTTATGGTGAATATTTCGTATAAATGTGTTGTCATTGTGTTTTTTGTGATTTTTATTTTAGCTTTACCTAATTGCTCGACAGGTTATTTTTTTTCGGCTTACATATGGTCGTATCTGTTTTAAGTCGGTTATATAAAACCATAGACTGGTCTAATTTGAATCCAAAAGATGAGACTCTGTGTCTCTTGGATAGCTGCTAGTTGGTCAGAGTAGCAAGTTTATGCATCTGGCCCCAGGACTTCCACATTTCAATTGTGAGTCATTTATAATGTAAATATCAATTTCCGATTGCATAGGTTTACGGGATAGCCATAACTATCAAAAGTCAGGGCTCGTCCGGGATTTGAACCCGGGACCTCTCGCACCCTAAGCGAGAATCATACCCCTAGACCAACGAGCCGGCTGAATCAAACGCATCTGTGTAACAAGTGAGAAAAGTTTAAGGTAGAACGTGATATTCTTTTTACCGTCATTTCATTAATATGAATAAAAAAAGTTTTTTTTTCAGTGTTTGGAAAACTTTTTTTTTTCTTTTTCTAATTTTGCAATAGATCAGTTATTTCATAACTTCCAGCTTTCCCACTTGCAGAAACAACTCTGAAACGCAAAGCCACCTTAAAAGCCGAAACCAAACCGATTAACATGAATCCAAAAGATTAGACTCTGTGTCTCTTGGATAGCTGCTAGTTGGTCAGAGTGACAAGTTTATGCATCTGGCCCCAGGACTTCCACATTTCAATTGTGAGTCATTTATAATGTAAATATCAATTTCCGATTGCATAGGTTTACGGGATAGCCATAACTATCAAAAGTCAGGGCTCGTCCGGGATTTGAACCCGGGACCTCTCGCACCCTAAGCGAGAATCATACCCCTAGACCAACGAGCCGGCTGAGTCAAACGCATCTGTGTAACAAGTGAGAAAAGTTTAAGGTAGAACGTGATATTCTTTTTACCGTCATTTCATTAATATGAATAAAAAAAGTTTTTTTTTCAGTGTTTGGAAAACTTTTTTTTTTCTTTTTCTAATTTTGCAATAGATCAGTTATTTCATAACTTCCAGCTTTCCCACTTGCAGAAACAACTCTGAAACGCAAAGCCACCTTAAAAGCCGAAACCAAACCGATTAACACTGTATATGTAGCACAGTTACACTTGGGTGTAGCATTGATTTTACTACAATTTAACGCGAGGTGTGACTGGAATTTGTGCGCTTGTTTATTTTCCTGTGTGCCAAACGCTCATGTGACGTCACTATCCACAGCGGCACGCGACCCTGGTGCAGACGTGGCGCGAGCTCGAGCTGGAAGGTTGCGCGAGGCGAGCGAGACTGTCAGCAGAACTGGCGAGAAGAGACGAGCCCATGAATGAGCTGGATTTCAGAAGCAAGACAATAACACGTATGTTAGTTTTGCATGTGTTGATTTTGTATTTTAGCGTTATGCTTATCTTTATAGCGTACTTGCATTTGTTGCGTTTGTTGTTGTTATTTTGCATGTCGTTTAAAAGAAAAAGTTAAATTCACTTGAATTGTCGCTTTTCAGGTGCACGCAGAGAATATATATATATATATAATACCATTCTTCAAATAAATAAATTCCAATAAAAAAAAGACAAATATAACGGTGAAACGAATGAACGATTTATAATCAAACATGAGTGTTTGATCTCAGCTAGTAGAAATACCGTCTTAGAGGTCATAAAAATGTTGTATAGAAACTGTAACGTGTAACCTGACGCTTATAATCTGCTTTATTTACAGTCTATGCATATGCGTATTGCGTTACTGAACGTGTATTTACAAGCTGAAGTTTGAAAGTGGCTTGTACGTGTATAAAACAACCGCTAGATGGCGCTGCAATCCGCATCAAACAAAGGCGCTTGACAGTGCCGCACCATTCAGAGACAGCTCTGCTGCTCCATGTCAGTGCTTTTCTGTTCACACACACATACAGTTGGTGTCACTGTATTAAAGGGGTCATATGATGCTTTTTTAAAGATCATTATTTTGTTTATTTGGTGTAACAGAATATGTTGACATGCTTTAATGTTCAAAAAACACATTATTTTTCAAATACTGTACATTATTGTAGGTCCTCTATGCCCCGCCTTTCTCAAACGCTTCGTTTTCTACAAAGTCCCTCCTTCCGACAAGCGCAGTCTGCTCTGATTGGCCAGCTGACCCAGTGCATTGTGATTGGCCGAACACCGCAAGCACTCGTCGGAAATATGTAACGCCCCTTACCATAATCGCCAGCTTCATCTTTCAAAATAAATGTAAAGACAGAGCCTGAAAGGGGAACAGAGTCTCGTGACAGACACAGTGATGAAGCTGGTATGTGTTTGCAGTACACAAGCCACGGTTAAGACAGCTGACTCCACTGTGATGTAACCCTCCCCCCCCCTCTCTCTCTCTCTCGCTCTCTCTCGCTCTCTCGCTTTCTCTCTCTCTCCAAATAAAGCCAAAGGCCAAATAAAGTGCTTTTGCTTTCGCCTAGAAATACACAGCGTCTCCCTGACATGCTGCTTCAACACTAACTGCG